AGTGGATGCTACTCCTGTTTCCAAGCTTGTTTTAATCAGGGAGCTCCACCAAACACTGTCCACCATGGGTAACCATTATCACATTTGACATATCAGTGTCACAGTGGTTAGCATCAAAGCACCCACAAATTACCTCTGTACAGCAGACAGACAGACAAGTGCTATACCACTTGGAAGAATATTGGACCAAAAACAATTAAAACCAGGCCTAAGTGCCACAGATTAAGATCACCCACCTTTCCCTATTCTCCTCTTCCTGCACATCTGCCCCTTAATCCCCAGGGTAGGGAACTATACAGCATCCCTCTGTGTGCACAGGGCAGGCAGCCCCACATGGCCTCTCCCACCCTGGTCAAACCCAGAACAAGTTAGAAAGAGCTTGTGCACCATGACTGACCAAGCAGCCCACAGCCCCAGCCATAGCCTCTACTCAGCTCAACAGGAAGAAGGTAGGACTCTGTCTTAGGGGCAGAGTCCCCTTTTCAAATGCATCCACTCTGAGCACAGGCTTGGCATCTAGCTTTCTCAACTGACCACTCTCTGTGTCCACATACATGATCAATCAATGTTCAGTCACCTTCAGTCCCGCTGGGAACCTGCCTGGGGTCTGTCCTTTTTCTAGGGTCCAGGATAGGAGTTGATTTGCTGGCCAATGTGGACTTCAGGCAGGGGGATTCATTGAGTCCTCCCAGACAATGAAAGACTCACTGAAGAGTCCAAGGTGCTGGTAGTCGAGGGTTTGGTAGTAGCTCTCAGCTAATCAAGAAGGTAGGCTTAGAGGTGGGAGAACCCCAGCAGCCCATGCAAGGTCACTGCATACAGGTGCTTCCTCCATCCACAAGTCTAGGGCAAGACCACAGTGGCCAGGGTGTGTCTACCACCTCATTCTCCTCACACCTGAGCTCCCGCTGCCCCCAATCTGGCCCTGACCACCAAGCCCTGCCATGCTCCTGGTCCTGGACATCAACTAGGGCTGCTCTCAGTCCAGCCCTTGGCTCTGTGGTCAGGGCATGGGGCACGGGTAGGGGGAGGATGGCCAGTGTGATTGCCACTCTGCCTGCTAACGAGGTGCTGAGCATTGCTCTCCCCCTTGGGTCCCTCAGGCCTGCCAGCTCCGTGGGCACTGAGTCAACATTGGGGTTCCTGCAGGGAAGGAAGGGCTGTGTTTGCCAATGGATACTCTATCATCTCCGACCAGTGCCCACCCTTGTGCATGTTTGCTGGAGGCGTGGGCACAACTCATCACCCTGATAATCCTGAGCAAACTCAGTGAGGATTTGGGGGCCACCCCTGCCCACACCCAGTGTGTCTCACCCACGCAGGCCCCACTGGCCTTGCCAGCCCCCTACTCCGTGGTCATGGCCCCTCAGCCTCCTCAGTCTCTGGCCCTGCAGAAGCCGGGGGCGTTGTGGGTGCCCTTCATGCCTTAGATCAGGGCTGGGGGAGGGACGGGCCAAGAGGAGGAGGCGCAGGCCTAGACCCCAGGGCCAGCCAAGGAATTGGACAGGCCACACTCGGAATGAGAAGAGCCGATACTACCCTCCCTCAGCCAAGCCCCTTCTGCCTTGCCTCCCACTGCTCCCTCCCTGTTTGCTGCTCTCCTCCAATTCCTACTCCTTTCCCCCATTCCATCTTCCCCTCCACCGCCCTCACTGCTTCTCTTCGCCTCCCCCTTGCTCTGCTCCTGCCCACTTCCTATTTCCACCCCCACCCTGCTCTCTCCTGCCCTGCTTCCCTCTGCTCCATCCTTCTCTCCTCTGAGTCCATTACCCCAGGGACTGTCAGGGACACATTGCAATTAGCACTAAGTGCTCAGATGTGCTGCAGAGAACACCCCCTGGCCCTGCCCCAGACTTGAGGTGTCTGAGTTGTGCCCCTTGGCTCCACAGCAGACCCCAAGCTCTAGCTGCCTTTAGCATAGAAGAGTCTTCTGCACTTTTTGTGTGGTCTTGCAGACAGCATGCCCCTCTCCTAACAGGTGAGCCTGGGTCTCCCAGGAACAAAGAGATCCTTTGCACGACCAAGGCAGTTGTAACATCAGCCAGTGGGGTGACATGGCACATCTTCCGTCCACAGTGGACTCAGATGCCCTGCATGGCTGACCTGTGTCCACATGCCCTGTCCTGTCACTCTCCCTGCCTCTTGCCCTGAGCTCTCCCGAGCTGCCTTCTTGCTGGCCTGGTTGCACAGGGATAGACCCTGGAAGCAACCACATCTCCAAAGAGAAGCTGCACCCTTGTTGGTGCCAAGAGTCCGGAGGAGCATGTCAGAGCATCAGACATGAGGACTCACATCCAGGAGCATTGTTCTCTGGGGGAGCTTCTCGGAGAACAGAGCTCATAATGGTGATGGGCATTCGCAACCAGTGTGGCTCCTATTCCTGCCTCTGAGGGCCCGGGCTGCTCAGTTATCATTTGTTCATTGATTCCAGCAAGCACATAAGCATACTGGTTCACTTACAAAGTTTGTAGACGTTGTTTCCACACTGCATCTCTCCCCACCTCTCCCTCTACCCATCAAATAGTGGGACCCTATCCCCCTACCCACCTTCACCCCTCTGCCCACCCCCTGGATCCTCATACTCATTCTGCAATAATAGTCTTATACAGTGTTTGTCCTTATGGGACTAATTTAGTTCACTTTGCATAATGCTCTCCAGTCCCTCCCAAGTTAGGTAGTGATTTACAAAATCATTACTCCTGCGTGCTGCATAGTATTCCATTGTGTGAACATACTATAATTTCTCAATCCATTCCATTGTGGTTGGACATCTGAGCTGTTTCCATGTTTTTGCGATAGTGAATGATGCTGCTATGAACATTGGTATACAAGTCTCCATTTGTGCCTCAGTTCTCATTTTCTCAGGGTATATTCCAATCAGTGGAAGAGGAGAGAGGATGGGAAGAGAGAGCAGTAATGATAGGAGTGAGGAAAGAGAAAGGCTGGGAGGGGGAAGCATGGAAGGGAGAAATGAGGGTGAAGTGAAGGAATGAAGAAAGGGCGGGTTTGAAGGAGAACTATGGGGAGAAAGAAGGAAGGGAGACAGGGTTCACAGGAGGGAAAGAGGCAGAGGAGGAACACACCAGATCAGAGCTACAGTGACCGAACTCGTCCACCACTCGAGTCCCCCTGATTCTCTCTGGAACGTGCCCAAGTATCAGGGTTGGATACAGTGCACGGCCACTTCCAAGGCCAGATCTGCCCTCACCCATGCACCTCTATGCCCACTGACAATTCAGAGACCCCTGGGGACACACCTCGGCATAGGTGGGATCCTCACCTGAGAAGCAGAGTTGCCTACTGGTTGCAGCCCCTGGACAGCACTCTGTCCCTCAAGCCTAGAACTGCACAGGACTAGAGGTGATGAGTGCAGGCCTAGTGAGAGACGCTGGTGCCCACACCATGGGAAGCTGGGGTTCCACGTGTCAGGGAGGAGGTGGGCCCCTAACCAGGCCCTGGTGAACACCCAGGGGCACACAGGGCTCCCTGGGAGGGGAGCTGTGCCACTCTCAGCCCCTTGGCCTCCACCAGGGCTTGGGCAGCTGGAGACCATGATCTCTGGGCCTGGTGTGAGGGGTTCTGTGCGGCCAGGGGTCCCCACTCTGCTCAGGCCTCTCCTCCGGCCCTGCTGCTCCTGGCCCCCAGTGGCTGGGTGGGACTGGGCAAAGCCACCAGGCAGGTTCCTGGCACACAGCCTGGCGACCCTCCCTCTTAGCAGGAACAGCCTGTTTCCCTTCTCCTCTTCCTTTATCTTCTGTTTTCCGTTCCTTCAACTGTGAAGAGGTAAACTGCCTAAGCAAACATGCCCAGCTCTGTGGCCACATCCGGGATGTCACAATAGCCATGACCCTGCCAGCCAGCAGGATGGGCCAGCTAGCCCGCCTCCCCCACCTTGCATGGACCCCACCCTGGACATCACGTCCCCCAGGACCTTCCATCCAGCACGTGAAGGCTGACAGCCACAACCACATCACGCTCTCATTTATCCAGTGAATTTACTGAGCTCCAGCCAGGATGCCCTGCCCCCCCCAGAGCTCCCATTCAAGGTGAGGGGGGTCTGGCCGACAGTCCACCCAAGTTGTGGACAGGTCGGGTTCGCTATGGCTCCTCTCCGGGCACTCACAGCTCGGCTAATGTGGACGGATGCACGCGGCCACTGGAGCAGGAAAGCCTGAGGAGAAGCAGCTTCTGTAGAGCTATTCGCTGATGAGGGAGGTGGAGACACCCCTCTCACCCCAGGCCGCTCAGGCCATGGCCCCCAGAATGAGCACTGGACCCAGTACCCGGTCTCCTTCTGTCCCCTTGCACATGTCCTCCTATCATCACCCAGATGCCAGGACCCTGCCAGCCTGTGTCAGCCACGGCCCAGGGGAAACCCAGGACTGGGCGGTAAAGCACGGTGGAAGGAAGAGGGCCGTGCCAGGACCATGGCTAGGCATTGCTCTCTTAGACTTAGCCGCACCTCGTGTCAGAATTGAGACCCAGAGGGCTTCTGGGCTCCGAGAGAGGCTCTGGGACCCCTACAGGCCACACACAGGCTGAACAGGAGCCACAGCCCCCCACCCCATCTGCCTATAGGCCCCTCCCACTCCTGGTCAGGCACCCCTCAGCAAGGCTAGGCTCCCTGGAGAAGGTGTATGCAAGGCTGTGTGGCTGTCCCTGTGTCCCGTAGGCCAGGTGGGAACTGCAGTGGGGCTTTGCCATCTGAAGTGGGTGAAGGTAAGATTGGCATTACCTCAGGCAAGATGCCGCAGTTGTCAGAAGCTGCCAGAGTGGGCGGGGCCCCAGGCAGCCCACCTCCTGCGTACAGAGTCACAGCTCCTTCCTGCTGCCCAACCATGATCCCTCCCCAAGAGCAAACACACGTGACTAGGGGGACAGCACCCCGTGTGGTCTCAGAGCTGGGCACAGGACCAAGGCTTCCTGTTATATAAACCCTGGCTCCCAGCGCAGCGGGCACCCAGCCCCACTCCCTCTTGCTGCCTGCAGCCAGCCCCAGGATGGGCACCAGGAGCCAGTGCTGGGCGCTGGCTGGGATTCTCATGGCCCTGCTCTCAGCCCAGCTGGCAGGTAAGGCCAGCACCCCCATCTGCCCCTGAACTTCAGCTTCTAGGGCGCTCAGCTCAAACAGACAGGCAGATACCCCACCTTGCTTGTCCTTCATGCTGTCCTGCCATACTGGGACTCTAGGGCCCATGGGCTCCTTGCTTGAGCCCTCATCATCTGAGGCAGAACCCCTACCTATCCTCCAGGGCTGCTGGGGGTTAACATGAGCTAACACTGATACCAGGAGAAGCTGGGCCCTGGGACTCAGGGACATGCCCTGGAGTGGTGCCCTGGGGGTTGTGCTCTCAGACATGAGGCAAGAAGGGAAGGTGGGTTAGGGGGTGAGGCCAGGAGCCACATGAGGCCCCAATGAGAGTGGACAGGACCCAGGAACTGCACTTACACACAACCAGTCCAGTGATACTAAGTGGTCCCCTACATCTCTCTGGGCTGACACAAGCCTCCTGGGGAGAGGCCACACCGAGGTCCAGACCCCACAGGGGATGTGACTGCTGTACACACAGCTGGAGGCATGAGGCCAGTGATCCCAGTGGCCTGGGCCTCGGGCCCCATGGCTCTTCCTGTCGCCGTCCGTCATCTTCGGGGCCCCTTGACATTTAGCAGCTCAGGGACAAGCCACTAATACCTACTGTCAACAGAGAAAGATGCAGCCCCAGGCTGCCAAGCAGCACGATAGTGCCTGTGCTGGAGCAACAGTGCTTCCAGCCACTGAGGGCCGGGCAGGGGCGGGGGACTCCAGCTCCATAAAGCCTTTCCTGGGCTGGAAGATGGACACAGATGAAGTCCTGGGTCCCCCAGCTGGCGGTTCCATTTGGGATACTAGTTGGCCAGGCCCTGAGCATGTCCCCCAGCCGCCACTACCACACGTGGTCTTTCCTAGCTGTGTGCTGTCTGGACTCCTGGCCCAGCAGGCTCCGACTCTGCTCACTCAGCTCACTGCTCTCCGGACGTGGTGTTCACAGTCTCCATCGGGGCCTGTGAAGCGGGCCCTCCCAGAGGGAGGACCTCCCTGCTGTGTCCTGAGACCGTCATCTGATGGCGCAGCAGCAGCAAAGGCGCCCCAGATGGAGAGGGGTGGGCTGACTCACATGTGAGGGAAGCTGGACCCTCAGGGGCCCTGTCGACTGCAGGGTGCAGGGCAACGAGGGTAGTGGCTGTGCCCACAGGGTGGGGGACAGGTGTGTAAGCCAGTCCTGAGCCTCCACGGGTCACAGTTGGGAAAGTCCAACAGGAAGTGCACACCTGTGTGGGAGGAGTGACCAGAACCTAAGATTGGGAGGGGTAGATGTAGCTCCAAGAGGCTTCCCCCAGGAGTCACAGCTACAAGGTGAAAGCACAGGACATCTGAGGGACAGTCACTCTTGGGACACCAGCCCTGACAAGAGAACAGTGGTCAGGGGTGAGGAGGAGATTCTGAGGAATGGCTACCATCTGGAGCCTAGCAGAGAGGAGACACCTGACCACTAGGGGTGGAAACAGGGCAGAAGCCTGCCTCCAGACGCCTTTATGACTCCCGTACCCAGTCACAGGTCTTGCCTGGAGGTGATGGTCCCCACCTCCAGTGGCCACTCACTGGGCTGGGGTCAACCTCCCTCTGCTGTGGTGGGTGACGGTGGTGAGGGGCTGGCTCTGGTCCTGGGTTTCTGCTATGTCATGCCTGCAAGCCTCTCAGTCAGCTCCTTGTCCTGACAAAGCACCCTTTGTCCTTCCTCAGGGGCCATGTGGGAGGGGGCTGGCCCTCTCGAAGGTACTGAGGCTCTCAGGTCAACGCCCTTTCCTGATTCCGTCTTCTCTGACTGCCTGTGGGGGGTGGGGGTCAGCTTGTGGGCACACAACCTGGACAGATTTCCTACTGACGTCTTCCACACTGGTGAGGTCTCACCTGCTATCTCTGATGCCCTGATGGTCTGAGAGTGGGTGCAGCCTTGGAACGAGCCCACAGTATGGCCAGGCCGTTCCCAGGGCTATCGTCCTATAGTCCCCGCATGTTCCTTGCACCCTACTGGCCTCCCCCAGAGACTCAGGGCAGCACATAGCTGGGCTGGGCTAGCACAGAGGGCAGTCAAAGAATGGACATCACACAACCACTTCTGGGTATCAAGTGGGTGAAGGAGCTGAGGCAGGCATGTAGGGGCCAGGACCCCTTTCCACAGAGCTACAGGTCTCACTAGGTCTTTCCTGGGTCCCTTCCGACTCAACAGTGGAGCAAGGGAAGGGTGGGGAGGACATCCAAGATCAAGATCAAGATGCGACCTCCACAGATCAGAGACAGTCTTTCTCTCTGGCTCACACACACACACACACACACACACACACACACACACGCACACATGCACACACACCCCTTCACACATGTGCACTCAAATACTCACACACAGTAACACACACATGTGTAAACATCCATTCACGCAATGTACACACACAGATACTGACCAGCACTCACACACATGTTCATACTAACATCACGCAGACACTTGCATGCATATACTCACACAGACACACTCATGGACATGCGTGTGTACACACGCATCCTCAAACACCATTTACTCACACAGCAGCACATATGCATGCATGCATGATTACATACTCAGGCAACACAAAAACTTCCGGCAGGAACAGGTCTTGGGTGGCAGGAAGACTCCCAGGAGGGACAAAAGAGGTTCAGGACAGCACCAATTCTCTGCAGTGGTCATCAAGGGGTCTGGGGGGTCTTAGATGCCCGCTGGACCTCCCCCAGGTGACTCAATCCTCTCTCTGTAGCCCAGCCCAAGAATGAACCTTCCCGGACTACGGTCATCATCCCGCCCATCTCCATGTCCCCCACCATGAGCTGTAAGTGCTTGAGAGGGTCACAGGCCTGGGGACAGCGCCACAGCATGGGCGGTTGGCAGCTGGACAGCACAGGCAGGCCCTGCTTGTCTCCATCAATAATTTGATGGTCACCAAGTACAGAGTATGGGGGTGAGCACAAAGCCACGCCCAGACCAAGAGTAGGGGAGTCTAGGCGGGGATCCAGGGCCAGCTGCACAGGATCAAGGCTGAAGTGCCAACAGAGAGAGCGCCGTCCATCTGGCCACCCTGCTCCAGCTGCATGGGAGGTGGGGAGAAGGGGGTGTTGGAAGTCAGCCCACTCATGTCCACACCTCCAGCCCTGAACCTGGCCCACAACGGGCGGGTGTGCAGCACATGGGGTGACTTCCATTACAAGACCTTCGATGGGGACATCTTTCGCTTTCCTGGCCTATGTAACTACGTCCTGGCCTCCCACTGCCGTGCTGCCTATGAGGACTTCAACATCCAGCTGCGCCGTAGGCTTGTGGGTGACAGATCCACCATCAGCCACGTCGTCCTCAAGGTGGACGGGCTGGTGCTGGAGCTGGCCAATGGCTCAGTGTTCGTGGATGGGCAGCGGTGAGTGGCTGCAGGCTGGGTAGCCATGGGTGACACCCACAGAGTGGGCGTCCAGGCAGGTGTCTAGTGCCTAGTGGGTCTTTGGGGTCCTGGCCACGGGGAACCAAGCTCTCTGGTTCCAGGAAGGAGCTGCCCTATAGCAGAGCTGGGCTCCTGGTGGAACACAGCAACAAATACGTCAAGATCAACATCCGGATGGTCCTGACCTTCTTCTGGAACAGAGATGACAGTGCTCTGGTGAGGACCCCACGACTTGCTCCAGCTGAACTGACCCTTCAGGGCTTCTGGGGCAGCCTGGCGTCTGGTGGAGGCTACCAGGTGGAGGGAGGGTACTGTGAACCCAGAGCTGTGCTCTGAAGCTGCCCATCCTGTGCCCTCAGCTGGAGCTGGACACCAAGTACGCTAACCAGACATGCGGCCTGTGTGGTGACTTCAATGGCCTCCCTGGCATCAATGAGTTCTATGCCCACAGTGAGTGCTGCCTGCCTGGCCAGTCTCAGGGAATCTCAGGGGGGCTGGCCAGCCAGGTCCACAGGCCAGTGGGTGAGGGACAAACATACAGAGGGGCCAAGACTCCTGAGGGCCCTTGCTCCTGGGTTGGAGCAAGGGGCCTGGCCGAGAACCTGAGTAGGAGGCAGCCAGCTCTCACACACCCCCTAGTCTCTCAGTCCCCCATGTGGGCTCCCCAGACACCTCCGCCTCCTTCTCCTCACAGATGTGAGGCTGACAGAGCTCCAGTTTGGGAACCTGCAAAAGCTAGATGGGCCCACAGAGCTGTGCCAGGATCCACTGCCTACTCTGGCCAACAATTGCACCAATGTCAAGGTGAGCACTTTCTTCAGTGCCTCCCAGTGTGGAGAGAGCTGGAAGGCTGGAGCAGGGGTGGGGGAGGAGAAGGGAGTCCAGGGGTCCAAATAAAGCTAAGGGTGCTCTGCCCAGGATGGTCAAGGATACAGCCACACTTTATCCAAGAGTCAAGCTAAATTCTATATTCAGCAGACTCAAGTTACCAGTGTCTAAGAGGAAAGGTGATAGGAGAGAGAAGGAGGGACAGATAAATGGTTGGGTTTACAAATGGATGGATGGATGCAAGCAAGGGAAGGAGATATGGAGAGGAGGAGGAAAGAGATAGAGGTTAAGGGGGAGGTTCATTGGATGAAAGGAAAAGGAGAGAGAGGAAAGGAGGGAAGGAGGAGGTAGATAGGGACTAAAGGAGATGATGGATGGATGGATGGATGGATGGATGGATGGATGGATGGATGGATAGATGGACAGACGGACGGGTGGGTGGATGGATGATGAATGAATGAGCAGATGGGTGGGTGGGTGGATGGAAGGATAGATGGGTGGATGGGTGAAAGGATGGAAGGAAGAGGGGTTAGGTGGGTGGATGAATGGAGGGAGGAAGGAAGTAGGGAGATAGGAAAAGACTAAATGAGAGAATGGATGGGTGGCTGGGTGGATAGAGGAAAGGGGGGGGGAAGGAGGAGGAGAGAAGGAGGGGAGAAAGAAGCAGGAGGGATGGGTGGGGAAGGGAAGGGAAGATAGGAATGAAAAAAAGGAGAGAGGGCAGAAGGAACCTCTGAGGGGAGAGACGCCAGTGCTCAGGTAAAGGGAGCAGGATGGCAGGATCTGCCATCATCTATTGACACTGAAAGCTGCCTCAAGTTGATGACACGTAGCCCGCATGGTGGGGACACAGTGAGAGCTGGCCATAGCCACAGGGAGAGAGAATGGAGAGGGAGTGGCCATAGAGTTGGATGGAGAGAAGGGGATGGATCAAAGAGGATAGGGATGAAGAGATAGGTGGGCAGATGGACACCATAAGTAGACATGCAGAGGAACAGTGTGCTGGGCAGATGGTCTTTGGGGCTGCTCTCCTGAGCCCAGACCCATGCCGCCCCCCAGGAGGAGGTCTGCTACCGGATCCTGCTTGGTGCTGCCTTCGCCCAGTGCAACACCCTGGTGGACCCCAAGCCGTACTTGACCTCCTGTGTGCAGGACCTATGTCTGTGCCCCAGCTGCCCGTGTGCCACCTTCACCGAGTACTCCCGCCAGTGTGCCCATGCGGGGGGCCAGCCACAAAACTGGCGGGGCCCCAATCTCTGCCGTGAGCATCTCATGCAGAAGGGGGTGCAGAGAAGGGTGGGGAATGGCATGTGTGGGGCAGCTGGGCCTGGCTGGAGGGTGGCTGACTTAGAGGGCTCTGGGCCCTGGGACTGCCCACACCACGTACATTACCCAGTCGTTTGAGAAATGGGTAGGTAGCTGCAGATCCTTGGGACTCAACTGTGGCTTTCAGGACCTCTTGTTGGCACAAAGGTGGACAGAGGACTGGTGATGTCAGCAGATGTCAGGTCAGTTTGAGCTCAACACCTCCCTTCCTGCTCTGACTGCAGCCCAGACGTGCCCTGACGGCATGCAACATGAAGAGTGTGGCTCTCCCTGTGTGGACACTTGCTCCAACCCCGAGCGTGGCCAGCTCTGCGAGGACCATTGTGAGGATGGCTGCTTCTGTCCTAAAGGCAGGTCCAGCATGCCCCCCCCCCGCACTGTCCTCCCATCAGTCTTGCCACTAGGGCTGAGCAGGCATCACAGGCTCCTTGGAAGGGGGTGTGGCGGGGGGGGGGGGAGAATTGAGGCACAGAGAAGCTCAGAGCTTGTCCAAGCCAGGCATGGCATGAGTAATGAGTAGACCTCAAGTCCAAAATTCCATGCCCAAGGAGTTCTCCTGAAGCGTGAGGAGGTGGCCTGTCCCGTCAGGCCCCTCTTTTTAGAGGAAAGTGGTTACAGGCAGTAAAGTGAACTCTGATGGGCTGCTCTGGAATCTGGGGCTGGTAAGCACACCTGGATGACAGGTGAGCCACATCTGAACTCAGTCCTTGCACCTGCGCAGTGAGATGGCAGCAGATGCTTACTGCGCCCTCCCCCATGGATGGCTCTGTGGTCTGGGGATCACAGGTGAGCCACACCTGGCCAGTCCCCACACCTGCACGGCAGGGTGGGAGCACATGATCACTGTGCCACTCCTCCACTCTTTAGGGATGGTGCTGGATGACATCACCCACACAGGCTGTGTGCCTCTGTCACAGTGCCCCTGCACCTACCAAGGGCACACCTACACCCCAGGGGCCACTGTCACCACCAGCTGCAGCTCCTGGTACGTCTTGCTCCCCAAACTGGCCCTGCCTTCTTGGAAGTAGGTGTATGTGAAGTCTGCAGTCTGCCACCTCCCCGACTCATGGCCTCTCTGCTCTCAGCACCTGCACTGGAGGCCGGTGGCAGTGTGCAGCCCTCCCGTGCCCGGGCACGTGCTTTGTCCAAGGAGGAGCCCACATTTCCACCTATGATGAGAAACTCTACAACCTGCATGGGGACTGCAGCTACATTCTGTCCAAGGTGTGTGGTCCGCTCTGTGCCTTCTGCCCCTGCCCTGGCTCTGGTTCAAGAAGCACTAGTGATGAGTTCTGAGAGAGACGTCCCTTGTTTCACACTTACCCAGTGGCTTGAACCCTGGAGGTGCCAGAGGCCACCTTCCTGGGAAACCACCAACCCTTCCACCTGCCTGGGCATGCCAGGCCCCACATGCCCACTAGTCCTGCAGGGACCAATGCATCTGTGACTTTCTCCTAGCGGTGTGCCGACAGCAGCTTCACGGTGCTGGCTGAGCTGCGGAGATGTGGCCTGACAGACACCGAGAGCTGCCTCAAGTCAGTGACACTCAGCCTGCATGGTGGGGACACGGTGAGAGATGATCATGGCCACAGGACAAGAGGGTGGAGAGAAGGGATGAGCTAAAGAGGATGGGGATGAAAAGATAGGTGGGCAGAGGGAGCGACGAGGGACAGGTGGAGAGACCGGGGACAGCTAGAGAAAGAGGGCAGATGGAGAGCTAAGACAGGTGGAGAGATGGGGGGGAGGGTGGAGAGAGAAGTAGACAGGTGGAAAGGTGGGGGAGGATGAAGAGGTAAGTAGACAGGTGGAGAGATGGGGAGGGGTGGAGAGCTAGACAAGTAGAGACAGACAGAGACCCTGGCTGATAGTCCCTGGCTCCCGGGCAGCTGCCCAACCTGGGTAATTTTAGTCCTGGACTCAAGGTCAGTACCCTGAGCTCCCATCTCGTTCTCTTTTGGGCATCTCCCCGTGTGTGTGATGGGGCGAGTGTGCTCAGTGCAGTCTACTGCCTGGCTTGCACGCTTCTGCACTGAGGTCCTCATCTCCCTCACTAGACTCTGCGGATCCAGGCGAATGGTGCAGTATTCATGAACTCCATCTACGCCCAGCTGCCCATGTCAGCGGGTATGCGGCTCCCCAAGCCCCAAGTGCCCTTCCTGGAGGTAGCGTAGATCCAGCGGTGGGCAGCACCCAGCACCTCTGCCAGTGGCCAGTCCATCACTCTAGGGCTCTTTGAGGTTTGCTGTATATAGAGTGGGGGAGGCTAGTGGTCTCCCAGCCTCTGACTGTGGGGTCAGGCATGCTCAGAACCCCACCCTGGAACACATTTGCCTTACTGCTGACTGGGACTCGCCTGGGCAGCCCACAAGGATGGAGACTGGATGTCTCTACGGTGGGACCCACACCTAGGTGATCAGGTGTCTGGCTCTTGCCTGTACTGTCTCTTCAGCAGGCAAGGTGGGTGATCCCACCTGCAGGGCCCCAGCAGCACTCAGGGCTGCACAATCATCCAGCTGGTAGGGAGGCAGACCAGGGAGTACCCAGGCCTCTGACCACTGTCCTTACCCACCAGCCAACATCACAGTCTTCAAGCCTTCATCCTTCTTCGTGCTGGTGCAGACTGGGCTCGGACTGCAGCTGCAGGTGCAACTGGTGCCCCTCATGCAGATCTACATCCGCCTGGACCCCATCCACCAAGACCAGATGTGTGGTGAGGCCCTCAGGCAGTGGGGCATGGGTGGGGGCGGCCAGTGCCGCTGCTGAAGGGCACAGGCCCCAGGAGAGGGATGGCCACATGCCAACCAGAGCGTCTGACACTGGACAGCTCTGAGAGGTGACCAGCCAGTGGGCAAGAGGGAGTCTCGCTGGTCTGACTCCAGCAGTGCTGGGAGGAGGGCTGACCCTGCCAGGGTGTCCCTACAGACAGCTCTGGGTACAGACAGCTCTGGGGTACAGACAGTTCTACAGACACCTCTTCAGACAGCTCTGGGAACAGACAGCTCTGGGTACAGACAGCTTTGGGAACAGACAGCTCTACAGATGCCTCTACAGACATCTCTGGGTACAGACAGCTCTGAGTACAGGCAGCTCTGGGTACAGACAGCTCTGGCTACAGACACCTCTACAGACAGCTCTGGGTACAGACAGCTTTGGGAACAGACAGCTCTACAGCCACCTCTACAGACATCTCTACAGACAGCTCTGGCTACAGACACCTCTACAGACATCTCTATAGACAGCTCTGGGAACAGACAGCTCTAGGTACAGACAGTTCTGGAAGCCAAATCCCTGCTAGAGGTTTCCAGACTCGTCAGGCTCAGCACTTGGCCACAGCTGGGCTATTGGCCAGATGCCCGCTGATGCCCACCGGCCCCTAGGTCTATGTGGAAACTTCAACCAAAACCAGGCAGATGACTTCACAGCCCTCAGTGGGGTGGTGGAAGGCACAGGTGCCGCCTTCGCCAACACCTGGAAGACCCAGGCCAGCTGCCCCAACGCCAAGAACAGCTTTGAAGACCCTTGCTCCCTCAGTGTGGAGAACGGTACCCTAACTGCAGGGTGGGCCCTGGGAGTGCCCTTGGGGGCAGGACAGGCAGGGAAGGATGCAGGGCTGGGCAGGTGGACAGACCACTGGACGTCCCTCATGGTGAGTGAGTGTCCACCTGCCCTTTGAGCACTAGATTCTGGTTGGCCAGAGAACCCAGGAGTCTGAGGAATGCCGGCTTTGGGGGGATGGAGAGGTTCAGGGTGTCAAGGCTCTGTGAGGAAGGCAATGACCCTGCCTCTCCTCTCGCACCCCCAGAGAAGTACGCCAGGCATTGGTGCGCCCTGCTGACAGACCCTGCGGGCGCCTTTGCCACCTGCCACTCCATCGTCAACCCCACTCCTTTCCACTCGGTGAGCCCATCCCTGTGTCAGTAGAGGGAGCGAGTTGATCTGCCCTACCTGGACCCATCCTCCCAGTGAAACTGTGGGATTCTCAGTCCTCCTCAGACCGCATGACTCCATCCATCAGGAGGCGCCTGGCGTCCTGACATTCACAGGCCCCTGTGGGGAATAGGGGGGTGTCTCTGCCCTTCAAGCCTACTTGGGGGGGTATCAGCCAGCACGGGGGTGCTCCCTCACCACCCATGCCAGGTCTATTCCCTTCTGCCAGCCCCTACTCCCAGGGACAGCACAATAAGACTGAGGGGTTCAAAAGGCAAGTCCTCTTCAGCTTGTCCCCACGCCCTCACACCGCTTCCCCAGCACACTCTTCCCCCGCCTCCCCTACTTCTGGGCCAGTTTTCAGCCGAAAGGTTGATCTTTAAAACGGAGCTCGAACTGGCCCTGCACGCAGCCACCCTGTGCCACACCCTGCCCTGTCCATCCTCCTTGCCTCCCAACCCCACACCGCCCTTTCTCTTGTCTGGTCCTTGGTCTAAAGCAGGGGGCATAACGCCTGCATGGGGTTAGCTGAGAGCTGGGGTCACAGGCAGAGCCCTGACGCCCCATCTGCTCCCCAGAACTGCATGTTCGACACGTGCAACTGTGAGAAGAGCGAGGACTGTCTGTGCGCAGCGCTGTCCGCCTACGTGCGCGCATGCGCGGCTAAGGGAGTGCTGCTGCGTGGCTGGAGGGACCGCGTGTGCGGTGAGCGGGGAGCCTGGTCTCCGAGGGCCCCGCACGCGAACCTGCCACTGCCCCCGCCCAGCTCTGGATCCTGCCGACAAGGAGGGGGCCTGTGGGTCCACCCGGGCAGTGGGGACAGAGGAGCCAGAGGCAGGGACCCTAGAGAGGGCCCCTAACTTTGTGTCCTAGCACAAGTCCTAAGTCCTCTTCTGTTGGGATTGCTGCAAAGGTCACTGGCCCATCTCAGCCACGTTGACTGGGAGGGCAGGAGGGGTCTTCGTAGCCTGGTCTGGGCTGTGGGAGCGGGGCTGGCAGGCAGCCGCCATCCTCATCTCAGGCAAGAGGGGTCCTCCAGGGCCCTCCCCACTTCCACCTGCCGGGATGTGGGCCGCACTCTGACCCAGGTGCACTCTGCTTCCAGCCAAGTACGCTAGCAGCTGTCCCAAGTCACAGAGCTACGAGTATGTAGTGGCCACGTGCCAGCCGACCTGCCGCAGCCTCAGCGAGGCCGACGTCACCTGCAGAGTTTCCTTCGTGCCCGTGGACGGCTGCACCTGTCCCGTGGGCAGCTTCCTGGACGACTCCAACATTTGTGTGCCTGAAGCAGAGTGTCCCTGCTACCTCCACGGGACAGCGGTGGCCCCGGGCGAGGTTGTGCATGAGAACGGCATGGTGTGGTAAGGGCCACCTTCCAGGAGTGGGGGGCAGCGCAGCAGTGGTCTTCTCCAGGCCCTGGAGATCTGGCCTGTCACTGAGGGCAGGGGACAGAAGATGTGAGGCAGGCAGCTGCCTCTCCATCAGCCTGACCTGAGATGGGTCAGTCAAAAGTTTGGGGAACAGTGAAGCTATCTTGTTTTGCCATGTGTCCCTCCATATTCTCCTCCCAGGACAGTGGGGAGCTGTGTCCACATGCTTGTTTGCACCTGGAGGGTTTCCAGACCTCTTGTAGCCACACCGGGAGGAACAGGAACCTGAAGCAGTATGCCCCTGTTCATCTGTAGAGAAGTGTGTCCTGTCCCAGCTCAGGGGTTTTTCTAAGGCTCTGGGCTCCACAGAGGCACAAGTGTGGCAAGAGGAGAGCATAGTGAGTCCAGGTTAACACCTGGACACACTGCAGCCCAGGGCAATGACCTGCATCCCTGGCTCTAGCTCGGAGAGTCACTCCTAGGCCAGGGCCTCTGGTCACATCCTGCTCCGTGCTGGGTCTTCATGGCCACCTTGGAGGGGACGTCTGTCTTCAGGTCATCGCAGAGGCCCAGTGTGGGTCTGGGGAAAGGGTGCAGTCAGCCTAGTGGGGTTCAGGGTCTGTGCAGGGGTATCTTCCCATTCTTCCCTCTCTCACAGCTCGTGCTTCAAGGGGAAACTAAGCTGTTTGGGAGCTTTGGTGCGAAACAATACAGGTAGTGCCTGGCCCCTCACACTGCCACCCCGCTGACCCCGCACTGGCCTCTGCACTAGCCTCCCATGGGTGACTCCCATGCTGGTCTTCTGTGGGTTTCCCAGCCCCAACCCCCATGCTGGACTTCAGCGGGTCCTCCCCACCTGGCCCCGGCCTTAGTCTCCATGGGACCCCCTCCTGCCTGACTTCCATGCTGACCTTCAGCAGGTCTCCCTGGCCTGACCCCCACACTGGCCTCCAGTGGGTCCTTTACCCTAGATAGGCCTGTGGCCTCTGAAGAAAAGGGAGGGGCTTCTGCTTGTGTCTAGGACACAGCTGCCAGGACATGAGAGTGCTGGGTGGTCAGATGAGTTGGCAAGGCCGTGGGGCCAGTCATCTAGGCTGTGGTCCGCAGCCTCGGGCTGCCCCAGGCCTCCCTGCCCAGACCTGCGTTGTTCTCCTTCTCCAGCATGTGTACCCCCCATGGTGTACATGGACTGCAGCAATGCTCGGGTGGGCACCCCTGGGGCCGAGTGCCTGCGCAGCTGCCACACACTGGACATAGACTGTGTGAGTGGCCCATCAGGGCAGGGTGGGGTTGGCCATCATCACCCCATCATCTCCAGATGCTCCCCAACCTCCCGGCCTCGCTGACACTGGGGCTCCCACCTGATACCCCCTCCTCCACCCACAGTACTGCCCTTGGAGCTGAGTGGTGGGTCAGCATCTTGGCCCGTGCCCAGAACTACACTTGGTGTCCTCTTGCCATGATGCCCCCAGTACAAGGAGAGGTGTGGGTAGGCTGGCTGGGGCACTGACTTGCTGCCCCATGACCTGACCATGACCTCCGGCCCCACAGTACAGCACCCGCTGTGTCTCTGGCTGTGTCTGCCCCTCGGGGCTTGTGTCCGATGGCCGTGGGGGCTGCATTGCCCAGGAGGACTGCCCTTGCATACACAACGAGGCTACCTACCAGCCGGGGGCCACCATAAGGGTGGACTGCAACACATGGTGGGTGCAGGTCCTGGGATGCTGGGGAGGGAGAGAGATCAGGAACGGACAAGAGGGGCCAGAGGCCAGAGGCCAAAGCTGACATCTGCGGGAGGCTAGAGAGGGGCTGAGGCCTGGGGGCTCCACCAGCAAGCCTGCTGCAGGGAGCCACAGTCGCCTTGCCCAGCCGACCATGTGGCACTCAGGGCTGGCAGCTTCCCCTTCCAGGCTCAGGAGATGCTGAAAGGTTGTGACTGACACCAATGTCACTGCTCACAGCTCCCCTTCCTCCCTCACAAGTGAGGAAATCACCTGAGTTCCACTTACAAGGGAGGAAGCGGAATCTAAAACCCAGGGGATGACCACTGGATGGTGCCCAGTGTATCCCATTGAGCAGGCCATGCCCTACCCCCACAGCACATGCAAGAACCGGAGGTGGGAGTGCTCCAGCCAGCCCTGCCTAGGCACCTGTGTGGCCTATGGGGACGGGCATTTCATCACCTTTGATGGTGACCGCTACAACTTTGAAGGCAACTGCGAGTATATGCTGGCCCAGGTGCTACTCCCTGCCCACCCCTCACCGCCCACCCCTGCCTTTGGGTGGCACCACCATCAGCCACCCGTTCTCACCTCTTCCTGTTCCAGGACTACTGCGGGGGCAGCAGCACGACCAACGGAACTTTCCGGATCGTCACTGAGAACATCCCCTGTGGGACCACTGGCGTCACCTGCTCTAAGGCCATCAAAGTCTTCCTAGAGGTGAGGGGTGCCTGTCCCAAGGTCTTCTCCCTGTCTGTAGCTGAAGACCACCACAGGAACACCCCAGGCTTTGACCTCGGTCTCTGGAGGTCGTCTGAACATCCCTCCTGCACCCCACTCAGCTCTCTGGGTGGATAGGCTTCTGGGGCTGCTGTGACACTGTCAGAGCCTGTGTGAACAACCATGGACACTGACTCAGGTCAGGGGGCTGAGTGTCCCCAGGAACACACTCCCTCCACAAGTCTGAGAAGAATCTTATCGTTTCCAGATAGTGGTGGCTTCAGGTGGGGAGATCCAGGAGCTGTGTGGTTACCCAAAGGACAGCGCGCCCCTCTGGCTGTCCCGTCCTACCAGCTGCTCCAGGGAAGCTGGACACTACCCTCTGTCTGATTTACTGCGTCTGCAATGCTTCCGCCTCCATGGCAATGAGTATGAGTGGCTGCAAGCGTCTCTCCATTTGTGATTTGACTGCTCCAAGCTCTGCCTCTGCTTGCATGATGTTGGCTCTCCTCCCTCCTCTCTTGTCTCCCCCAGCTCCCTTGCTCCTGTCTTCACCTCCCCACTTCCTCTCTCCACTCCCTTCTCTGTCTTCTCCTCTTCCCTTCCTCTTCTCTGTGTCTTCACCATCTGCTCTGTTTACCTCTCTCTCCCCCCCTGGCCTCTCTCTCTGTATTTCCTGTCCCTCCTCTCTTTTACCTCGGTGTCTCTCTGCATCTGTATGTCTCTCCCTCTCTGTGTCTCTTCTCTCTGTCTCTCCTATGGGCCTCTTGCAAAGATGCCTGTCCTTGGGCTGAGAGTCTGCTCTAATCCAGGACAGTCTTTTCTTGAAAACTTTAACTTCATTCCATCGCAAAAGACTTTTTCCAAATAAAGTTGAGGTTAAAGGTTCAGGGGTTAGAATGTGGACCTGTCTTTTGGGGGCCACTATTCAAGCCAGTAGGGAGTTCTGGTGGCCTAGTGGCAAGAAGCTACGCTCCGGTCACAAGGCATACAGTTTGAGGCCACCAGCTGCTCCACAGGAGAAAGTTGGTCAATTTCCTCCTGTGCAACGGACTTCCTCCGAAAACCTGGTGGAGGGTTCAAGCCAGGGGGCTCTTTGGTGGCCTAGTGATGAGAAGCTGAGCTGCAGTTTTGAAGGTACATGGTTCAGATCCACAGGCTGCTCTGTGGAGAAGGGCAGGCAATCTCCTCCCATGTGATTTGCTGAATTGGAAAACCTGCTGGAGGGGCAGCTATCAGTTGGTCCCGTCTCGACAACACACAACAACAAAACATTCAAGTCACCAAGGACCCCCTGGATCCTTCCAGTAGAAGAGATTAGGGTCCACAGAATGGAAGGCAGCCTCGTGGCCCTCAGTGTGCCCACTGCCCAGTGTGGGTGTGTGTGAGCATCAGGAGGCACTTGGTTGAGGGAGGTGAGGCTGGAGACAGGTTGGGGTGCGAGCACTGCGGGGGTGAAGTACTAGGGGAGGGAGTGGATGCAGCGAGGGGTGAGCCTGCCTTTACCTTCCCTTGCCTTACTCTGTGTCCTACGTCTTCTCTGCTACCACAGGGCCTGAACTTGCCCTGTGTCCCGCTGCTGTTTCAGTGTCGGGACCTTAAGACATTTCTGATTCATAACTCCCTGGATGGTCTCATGGGAGTGAGGAGAGCTGTCACTTGTACCATTGCTGCTATGACATTTTCAGAGTACATAAATAACCGACCACACAACAAACAGAGGGACAGGCTGGGGTCCAAGGGTACCAGGCACAAGCATCCATGCTTCCCTAGTAGAACCAAGCCAGCACTTCATGGATCCTCGGGACATGTAACCACATGTGTGAAAGGCTGCCAGCCTAGAACGCACCCCCACCCTGTGCCTGACTGACCATCCATGTTCCTCAGCTCCTCCGGAGTTCCAGCTGGTAGCCTCTACTTGATCAGACTGAGAGTTCAGGCATGCGCTGTGGGCCCTGGGCACCATGGAACATCCTGAGCTCAGACAACACGCCTGGCCCGAGGCCCAGGTAAACACTCATCAGGTCACGCCAAATAAGCTGAGCATGCTCAGGAGGGTCTCAGGCCCTGGAAGGGGCAGGTGTGGACAGCCCCGGCCTGCGGAGCCAGCCCTTCCAGTCAGCTTCTCACCTCATGCTTGCAGAGACGTGCTCACTCGAGCTCCTGGGAGCTGAGACTATCTTAGCTGTGTCTGGACTCAGGTCCTTCTCGGAGGCTGGGGGTCAGTTTCTTCCCCCTACTGTCCCTCAGCTCCCAGCACCTGCTCTACTCCCTTTGCAGAGATTCGAGCTGATCCTTACTGAGGGGCATCTGAAGGTGGTGGAGTGGATACCCGGCCAAGATCTGCCTTACAAGATGCGTTACATGGGCATCTTCATGGTCATCGAGACCCACAGCGGGTTGGTCCTGTCGTGGGATCGGAAGACCAGCATATTCATCAGGTTACACCCGAAGTACAAGGTGAGGCTGGCCAACTAGGCAGCAGCCAGGGCCCATGAAGTGGAGGTAACAGCCCAGCACCAGGCAGACATTCGTGATGTCATCTGGGATGACCTGGGGCTGAGGTGAGGCCAGGCATGGCAGCCAACCCTATAAGGGGCAGAGGTCAAACTGCCTGACAGTCTTCTCACAGAATCACCTTAGTAAAGTGATCACCGCACCTGGTGGGGCCACGTCTGCTGGGCTGAGGGCTTTGGTGGAGGAGGTGCTGTCCCACCTGCCCAGATAACTCCCTGGGCACCCCCTCCTCCTGCAAGTCTCTGCACCAGTTGCCTGACATCACTCCAGCCCAGGCTCCTTGCTGCCTGTCATGGGTGCCACCAGCGTGGGGTCTCATGTGCCCCCTCTGTCTTCACCTGTTCGCAGGGGAAGGTGTGTGGGCTGTGTGGCAACTTCGATGGCAACGCCATCAATGACTTCACCACGCGGAGCCTGTCCGTGGTGGGCGATGTGCTGGAGTTTGGGAACAGCTGGAAGTTCTCACCATCCTGCCCAGACGCCCTCGCCCCCAAGGACCCGTGCACGACCAACCCGTATCGCAAGTCGTGGGCCCAGAAGCAGTGCAGCATCCTCCACAGTGCCACCTTCGCCGCCTGCCAGTCTCAGGTGGGGCTTGGGACAGTTGGGACTGTGCATGCAGGGTAGAGTGATGCGCATGCAGAGGGGGCTGTCCTGTGCTTAGACACAGCAGGGCTGCAGGGGCTGAGCTGAGGCAGGTCTTCAAACGCAGCCTTGACCAAAGAGTTCAGGTGCAGTTCCACGGCCCCGGAGGGTTTCTGTCTCCTGAGCTCCTAGACCTAGTAAGACTACAAAGAGGTGGCTTCATATTTCCAGGACTGGAGGTTAAGGTCCCAAACAGAGTCTCAGCTTTGCCAATTCCTGCTGTCTCTCTTCTAGTGTCTGGTCCTGCCAGCATTCCTTGGTGTTCCTTTGCTTGTAAATGGGTCCTCACATGGCCTGCCTTTCTTCTAAGCGAGTCTATTTGGTTATTATAAGATGCTGCTCTGATGTACCAGTGATGGTTGTGATGGTGAGGGCTCCACCCGATGAACTGAGTCCAAGGCCAACCTGTGTCCTCATTAATGTAATAAAGAAGACCTATTCCAGAGAGGGGTAGGGTTCGGACTCCCAAATCATCTTCTGGTGGGGAGTGCTCACAATTCCACCCCTAACTCAGATCGTGAATCTGAACTTTCCATCAGGCAGCTCCTGAGCCCAGTACACAACCCTACCCCTCTGCTTTCTAGTTACTTTCTGAGTAAAGACCCAGTCTCTTTCCCCACCATGGAAAAAGGTCATAGGTCCTCACCTGTAGTCCTCACCTACAAGTCCTCACCCACAGGACCTCACACACAGGACCTCACACACACAGGACCTCACCCACAGGACCTCACACACAGAGGACCTCACACACAGGACCTCACACACATGACCTCACACACACAGGACCTCACACACAGAACCTCACACACAGGACCTCAACACACAGGACCTCACACACACAGGACCTCACCCACAGGACCTCACACACAGGACCTCACCCTCAGGACCTCACACACAGAAGACCTCACACACACAGGACCTCACACACAAGACCTCACACACAGGACCTCACACACACAGGACCTCACACTCAGAGGACCTAACACACATCCTCACACACAGGACCTCACACACACGACCTCACACACACGACCTCACACACATCCTCACACACAGGACGTCACACACAGGACCTCATGCAGGTCCTCACTTTCAGGACCTCACCTGCATGTTCACAAGTCCTCACCTACAGGTGCCTGCAGCGAGTGATTGCAGACGTGATGGTGAGGGCAGAGCCTGCCAGGATGACTGCACCACCACTACATCGCTCGAGTCCCAGAGCTAGAAAGGATGTTCAGGAGCTCCTCTCAGTCCAGCCACACAGAGTTCTTATGGAGATGCTCTTTTAGAATGGTTTTATTTCATTCCTTTTGACTTTACTAAAATACACATAACATAAAATTCAGTATTCCAACAAGTTTTAAGTGTACAATTCAGGGCAGTATTTACACTGACCACACTGTGCTACCATCCTTGACCCATTTCCAGAACTTCCCTGTCACCCCATGTAAGAACTCTATTCCCCTTTAAACAGTAATTCCCAGCCCCCTTTCACAGCCCCTGGTCAACACTTCATATGAGCAAGGATTTAAGTAGCCACTTGGGAACATTGTTTTCTAAGTTCAGTCTTTCAGCTGTGACAAGAGGAGGGTGTTAATGGAAGGAGCGGCTAGCAGGTAACGTGGTTGGTTGCAACAACAGCCCCTAAGTAGCCTTTAGAAGCTTGGACCCCCCTCCTTTAACTATACTAGTTTATTAACAGAATTTGAATACGTTGTTTTACAGATCAGATTCTTCCAGTTTCCCTAACGCACCCATCAAATTGTACACCATAATTAATCCACGCCCTCATCCTCACCCGTCTGCTTCCACCCCACACCCCTTGGATCTTCATATTCATTATACAATAATGGTTTTATACAATATTAGTACTTGTGGGATTTAACCAGTTCACTCGGGATAATGCTTTCCAGTCCCTCCCAGGGCAGGTAATAATTTACAAAACCATTGCTCCTGCATGCCACATAGTATTCCATTGTATGAATGTACCATAATTTCTCAATCCATTCGATTGTGATTGGACATTAAGGCTGTTTCCATGTTCCTGTGATGTAAATGGCACTGCTGTGAACATTGGTGTGCACGTCTCCATTTGTGCCTCAGTTCTTTTTCTCAGGGTATATTCCAAGCAGTGAAGTAGCTGGACCATATGGAATTTCTGTGTTCAGCTTTTTGAGGAAACACCAAACTGCCTTCCAGAATGGTTACACCATTTTACAATCCCACAAACAATATATAAGAGTTCCTATCTTTCCCAATCCTCTCCAAGATTTATTACTTGCTGTTGTTAAACTTTGCCACTGTTAGTGGAGTGAGATGGTATCTCATTGTGATTTTGATTTGCATCTTTCTTATTGCCAGTGATTTTGAGCATTTCTTCCTGTGTTTGTTTGCCATTCTAATATCTTCCTCTGTGAAAATTCTTTCCGTGTCTTTTGCCCATTTATAAACTGGGTTATCAGTCTTTTTCTTGTGGAGTCCCAGGAGTATTCTGCACACTTTTATTATGAGACTCTTGTCTGAGATGGTATTACCAAAGAAGCTTGGCTCTTGAGAGGTAACCAATGCCCTCTTGTTTCCCTGGTCACTGGCTTTGAGAGTCCTTGATGAGCAAGCTGAGGCTGGTTCCAAGTTTGGATAGCCTGTCGGGAGATGGTGGTAAAAGTAAGACATTCAGGCCTAGATCCATCTGGGTCTGACCAGGATATGCACCTGGCAAGTATGGCTTCTGGCAGCTGTGAAAGAGGGGAGGGTTAACAGTGTGTTCACAAAAGCCACCAAGCACAGTTCTGATTGGGGATCAGCCTATCAGTCCCCTTGTGAGGGTAGCTGTGTGAACAAAGTGCGGGCTAGCCCTCCAGAGGAGTGTGACAGGAACTCAGAAAGCAGGCTGAAGGAATGAAGGTAACTCCTGAGTGGAACCTTGAAGATCAGAGGGGAGTCGTATGACTATGGGGACTGATAGGCAGGTCAGCTGCCAGCAAGCCAGCCAGATCAGTGGGGATGGAGCAAGATGAACTTAGGTGAGGAGACCGGAGTGATGAGGAGACACTGAGTTGATCTTGGAGGTTTAGAGCTGAAGGACCAAGTTTACTCCATGCAGGACTGAGGGGCCAAGTGGAGGCTAGGGCCTGAGAGGAGCCCTCTTGGCACACTGGTGGATAGTCAGGTAGAATGAGAAAAAGAAAAGAGTGTATCAGAGGAGCACAACCTTCCATCAGTGATGGGACTTTGGCAAGACTCATTCACAGTGATCCTTAGCCAGCAATCTAGCTCGACCTGCCATTGCTGAGGCCACTGTGTCCCTCTTTGTTCATAGGTTGACTCCACCAAATACTACGAGGCCTGTGTGAGCGACGCGTGTGCCTGCGACTCGGGCGGTGACTGTGAATGCTTCTGCACGGCTGTGGCGGCCTATGCCCAGGCCTGCCAAGATGCAGGCGTGTGTGTGTCCTGGCGCAGCCCGGACGTCTGCCGTGAGTCGGGCTCTGTCCATGGTGCTGAAGGGAAGGGAGACAGGGCTCTGTCCGCGGTGCTGAAAGGAAGGGAGGCAGGGCTCTGCCCGTGGTGCTGAAGGGAAGGGGACAACCGGGTGTTCATGGTGCTTGACAGAAAGGAGTCAGGGCTCTGTGGTGCTGAAGGGGGCAGGAGAGGGGGCCTTATGTCCAGTGCTGAAGGGAAGGTAGGCGGAAGGAGGCTGGACTACAGCTTCACTGCTCAGAAGCCTCTACTGCCCTAGTGCTCCAGCCACAAGTCCCATGAATGAACACATACTTAGCCAGTGAACATGGATGTGCACATTGACCAGCTCAGATGTAGCTCTACATAAAGCCAGAGAGAACAAGTCAGTTCTAAACAAGATGGCTCAGGAAGGGACAAGAACTCCAAGGGTTGGGCTGAGAACGAAGCCACAACTACACACCTCCATCCTGTACCCAAGGGTAACAGACCCTCATGCAATAGGTATGCAGAAAAGACCAGGAGATTAACAGTCTAAGGAGGAAGGTATTCTCTGAGCCTGTGCTGTCCCTTACAGCCTTGTTCTGTGACTACTACAACCCCCATGGGGAGTGTGAGTGGCACTACCAGCCATGTGGGGCCCCCTGCATGAGGACCTGCCGGAACCCCAGTGGGCACTGCCTCCTTGACTTACCAGGTCTGGAAGGTAAGGGTCAGACAGTTCCTATGGGAAGAGGGTATGTGTTAAAATGACAGCTGTTAGAGGATGTATCCACTGGTGCAGCTTCTACCACCATTGTCATGCAGCCCGGGTTTTCTAAGCACCCCTGTTGACTGTCCCAGCCCAGTAGGGCTCAGGACAGTAGGATAGGAAATAACAGAACCTTCAGGCTTGTGGGGGGAGCACCCACTCCTGATCTGCAAAGGATAATGAATCCAGAGTGACCTCATTCCCTCTGGCCCCAGGCTGTTACCCCAGGTGCCCACCCAACAAACCCTTCTTCAGTGAGGACCAAATGAAGTGTGTGGCCCAGTGTGGCTGCTACGATGACAATGGGAACTACTATGAAGTCAATGGGAAGGTTACCACCACTGAGAACTGCCAAAACTGGTAAGAGACTAAGGCAGGTCAGAGCTGGACTGTGGGGCAGAGGGTGGGACTGCAGGTAGGGGGTGGGGGAACCTGTGTGCTGGACCCACAGCTCTGCTACTTTCCTCTCCTGCCCCTAGTACTTGCACCACCAGTGGCATCCAGTGTCATTACAGCATTGAGGGTAAGAGGATTCAACTTGTCTAGAGCTGGAGGAGCAGGGGGACTAGGAAACCGAGGGCTGGGGCCACTGAGTGAGCCAGTATCTGCCTGCCTGCAGCCTGCACCTGCACCTATGAAGGCAAGACCTATGGCTACGAGGAGGTCATCTACAACACCACTGATGGGCTGGGTGCCTGCCTGGTCGCCATCTGTGGGGGAAATGGGACCATCCATAGAAACACAGTGGAATGTCCTGGAACTCCATCCACTAAGCCGCCGTTCACCTTCACCACCACAGTGGCACCTCAGTCCACAGCCGGTGAGACTCTAGGATGGAGCGGTGATTCTTATACTGCTTTCAGATGGCCTGAACCATTTCTGGCCAAATCTGAGCAGCTAGATGAAACTCATCCAGGAACTGGATGGTACTGTTGGCATATCCTTATCCATCCAACCCACCTACCCTACTGGACTTTGTGTGGTGCCCAAAGCTCCTCTACTGCTTCCTGGCTGATCCCACTGCATCTCTGAGTGATTTACAGGGGCTTCCCCCAAAGGGAGATGATAGACCCTCCCAGGCCCCACCCCCTTGCTGAGAAGGCCTCCTCCAAATCGCTGTCTCAGGATCCATCCATTCAACCATCCAACTCACCATCGAACCATAAACAGCTGAAACGTAGCCTCTGGACAGGCAGGGGGCTTTATTGTGGATTCTGTAGATGAGGACTCACTGGGCTAGCCATCATCAGTGAAGGAGTCTCCCTTTCCCCCTGCTGTCCTCTCCCCCTTACACCCATTCTTCCTCTTTATATACTACCCACACAGCCCATGGCTCTCCCACCCTGAATTGCCTCTTTCTGACATTTTCTTTCCACTGCCCGCCTCCTAACACCAGAGCTGCCTGGAACTTGCATCTCCTTCCTTCCACCAGAACCCCTCCCTCTTGTGCCTATTCTCCCTGACATTTCATTCCTTCCAACATCCCCTCACGCTGCCTTTCATGCCGCTTTTATTTAGGGCTCCTCTCCCCTGATACTCTCTAACTCTACCCACGGCTCTAACACTCACTTTCTCCTCTCTGCAGGCTCAACACCTGCACCCACATCTTCCTCGACAGTGTGTGTTCAGGAGGTCTGCATCTGGTCCAGCTGGTATGATGGGAGCCAGCCAGAGCCTGGGCTGGGAGGTGGAGACATTGAGACCTTTGAAAACTTGAAGCAAAAGGGGTACCAAGTGTGCACAGCACCAGCAGACATAGAATGTCAAGCAGAATCATTTCCTAATATACCTCTAGAGAAACTAGGCCAAAAGGTGTTCTGTGACCGTGTGAGAGGGTTAATATGTCTCAACCGTGAGCAGAGTCCTCCTCTCTGCCATAATTATAAGCTTCGGGTTTTGTGTTGTCAATTTGAGCCCTGCGGCCGGGCCACAACTCTACTAACCAGCACACCACCAACAGCAAGACTGGAATCCACAGCCAGGACAACAGAGGTGACACCAGTGCACACAACCTGGACAACGACATGGTCACCAGGCTCCTGGGTCACAAGTGGAATTGTGACCACAATACAATCACTTCCAAGTTCTGTGCTTCCAGTCACAACCAGCTGCCAGCCCAGGTGCCAGTGGACCGAGTGGTTTGATGTGGACTCCCCAACCTCGGGCGTCTCAGGCGGTGACATGGAGACCTTTGACAA